GCTCAACCTCTTGCGAAAGCCCTTTTAGCTGGGCGTTAAAAACGGGAGCGCTAAACCGCCGACCCTGGGCAGCGCCGCCACCTAGTTCAAAGGGCAACGATGCGAGGCCTCGCAAGGCCGCAGATTGACTGTCGGAGGCGATGACATCTTCTAGCAGAAGCCAGTCAATACCTCGTACGCCCGCCGAGTGGGCATCGAGCAATATAGCCATATGAGAAGAAACATCAAAGGTCCATTTCAAGTCAGTGACAGCCCAAGATATGGGCAGGCCTTTGGCCGCCTGGCACTGGCATGCAGGAGGAGGGCAATAAGAAAAACCAGAGGATCGCCCACGCCACCTTGCTGGGCAACCCCACAATAAGCTCCAAGCCGCTGCCTGTTCCGTTCGGCCCACAAGCCGTCCACCACCGATGGATGGGCCGCAGGTAAGCGAGCTGGCGCACGACGTGGGGTCCAGACTTATGCAAATGCGAGATCTGGCGAGCGGACCACAGGCTGCTAGTGAGGCCGCAATGGCGAGAGATATTCGCCACCGCCCTGGTAAGCCGTCGGTCTACTGGTACCGATGACCTGACGGATGCATAACACCCCTTCAAAGCAGCCGGTGCAGGCTTGAGGGCATCAAGCTTGAGATCCACTTCGCATATACTGTGCAGAGGATCCTGCGCGGCTAGCGGTCCCACGAGTTCAGGGCCGCCCCCAGCTGCGCGAATAGCAGTGACTGATTCCCGCTGCGCCACAGCGGCGGCCACCTCAAACGGGAAGTCATTGCGGGCGCGCGCGAAGAGGGCCTCCTCGATGCGCGCCAGCATGCCCGGGGGATCAAGCGCGGCCCGTCTCCGCATCCACGAAGGCAATATGGAGCGCGCGCTGTTCCGCAAAGAAGCGGGACACGAACCGCTTTCGACCGCAATCGCGCATTAATGCAGCGCCGCGCGGTGCCGACGGGTCCACGCCGCATCAGCCGCAGCCCGCTTAAAGTCATCATACTGAGCAAAAGCCTGCGGGTTGATCAGATCCCTCGAGGTCCGCCGCTGGGCAGCCCACGGCGCTGCGGCGCGCGTGATTCCCGCAACGTGACCCAATATTACATACGCCGCGTCGCGTGCCCAAGCTGCTGCATTCCCGAAAATGCGCCTCTCCGCCTTAGGCGCCGCACCTCCGAACCAACTCGGGCGCTCTTAGGCTCCAGGACCCCTCGGAGGGGATGGTATTCTGACCCGGGACCCCCCCTGACCCTTTCGGGACCACCCCCCTGGCAGAGAAGGGATCAAAGGGCAGGGGCTTCGTGGCTTCCTTTCGACTCAATTACGACGTTGTTCAATTTCTCTTTGGCTGTTTCGCTTTGGCTGGCGTGCTTAAGGAGGACGGCCTGCATGCGTCTTGAAGTCTCTTTCGGGGGCCTCTGGAGGGAGTGGGGGTGTTTTGGGTGTCTTTTTGGAGCCTCCTGGGTGCCTTTTGGGGCCTCCTTGGGGTTGCCTGCGGGCCTCGGAGGGGCCTCTCGGGAGTCTCTCGGCCTCACGATTTCCCCGGGGGATGGTATTCTGACCCGGGACCCCCTTCGAGACCCCCATTACCCCTCCCGGGCCCCCCCCCCACCCCGGCGGGGAAGTGATCAAACAAATCCCTTCGACTCAACTACGACGTTGCTCAATCTCGCTTTGGCTGTTTCGATGTGGCTGGCGCGATTAAGGAAGAGGGCCCAGGGAAAAGGGGGAGCGGTCACGGCAACGATGATGGCGACGGCGACGGCGACGGCGACGGCAACGACGACGACGACGACGACGACGACGACGACGACGAGTCAAACGAGCCAGCGTCTGGCAATCGCCGACAGGGTCGGCAGATATACACATGACATACACACAGCTGTCCAGCCCACTTGTCAGACCCCAGGAGGCCAAGATGCTGGCAAGCTTTTCTCGCTACCGATCCTCCGCGGCTCACTGGCTCTGTTATCAGGAAGCTTGGCGAGACCGATTGCGAGTTGAGCCATGCATCCCAGCAGAGCGGTCGAACCCACCTCATCGGCCTTGTAAGTCTCACGAAGGTTTTTCAGGGCTTGTGTGGCCTTCCGGCAGCCTTCTGAGTTTCTTCTTCCGGCCTCTGGGGGCTTCCCTGGTCCACCCTGCTTCCAACCGCGGTCTCCCTGAACGAGCGGGTCACGATTTGGAATGATTCGGGAGGCGTCTTGGGGCCATCTTGTGCCGTCATGGGGCTCCCTTCGGGCCATCTTGGGGCCCTGTTGGGCCGTCTTGAGGCTCCTCCTGAACTGCCTGGAAGCCCTCGTGGTTAAATTTGGGGCGATGCTCTGGCCTCCTCGGCGGTCTCGGACGCCCAGAAGACCGAAGAACTGAGCATTCCCCAAATCATGCAAAAACAATTGGAAGTCCATGTTTCTCGCGTTTCGAATGCCTCTTGGGGGTCTTCTTTGGGTGTCTGGGGCCTCTGTGGGCTCTCGCGTGGCCGTCCAGCCGCCCTCCTGACCACTTTGGGCCCGTTGCCTAGGCCCAGCAGGGGCCTCAGGAGCCCCGGAAAGCACAGGGGACCGTCTGCAAGGGAGTCCAGGGTGCCCCCGGGGCCAAGGATCCAGAGGGGTCCCGCTTAGGGGGGGTCGCAGGGTCCCAGATCGTAAAGATATGAATAGGGAACGTACAGACAGCTTGATACATCTGGCTTTACATCTTGACTGGCTACCGTGGGCATCCTGTGTTGTCGCTCGACGAATGCGACCACGATTCACTCCGACCAGACGTGACGTTTCGATGGGCACCCGGATGAATATTTGGTCCACGTGGCATATATCCGTACCGTACGTTCCAAGTAACAATTGATAGGCATACGCATGTTTCTCACGTAATTGTTGATGAGTGTAATTTATTGCGAAGGCCTTACGGCCGGTGCCGCCGACCCCCAGAACGACGAAGATGGAAACGAGGGGGGGCAGGGGGAGGAGGATGAGTGGGAGGTGGAGGAAGGGTGGAGGAGGTGGATGAGGGAGGAGGAGGAGGGGGAAGAAGGATGTGGTGAAGAAGCAAGAGGAGGAGAAGGAGGCAGAGGAGAGCAGGAGGAGGGGGAGCAGAGGGGGGAGGAGGGGGAGGAGGAGGAGGAGGAGGAGGAGGAGGAGGAGGAGGACGAGGAGGAGGAGGAGGAGGAGGAGGAGGAGGAGGATGCCAGAGGCTTTCTTGGGACAGCCTGGGGCTCTCTTGAGGCCGTCTTGGGCCGTCCAGGGCTCCTCTTGCGCCGTCTCGAGGCGCTCTTGGAGGCCTCCTGGGCTGTCTTAGGGCAGTTTGGGGGCCCCTTGGGAGCCTCTTGGGGCCTCTTGGGGCTTCTTCGTGGCCTCTTGGGGTTGAGAGCTCGACATGTCTGTTCGGGTCCCCCGTCTGGCACTCTCCTGGAGCCGTCTTGGGGGCTTCTTGGGACGTCTTGGAGGCGTCTTGGGCTGTCTTGGGGCCTTGGGGCGCTTTGCAGGCCTCTGGGGCCGCCTGGAGGCCGTCAAGGCGTCTTGGACAGATCGTTCGGCGATTCGGGGTTCTCGTGGACTGTCTGTGGGGCCACTTGGGGCACTCTTGGCCCGTCTTGGGGCTTTTTGGGCTCTGGGACTCCCTGGGGGGGCGTCGTGTTTGACCCCCCCCCGCGGGGACCCCCCCGGGATCCCCCCCGGGACACCCCCCGGGACCCCCCTGGGCACCCCCCGCCGCCCCCTTGGCGGGGGAGGGATCGAAGGGAAGGGGCTTCCCTTCGACTCAATTACGACGTTGCTCAACTTCGCTTTGGCTGGCGAGCTGAGGAGGTCCCTGGGAAAGCGGGGAGCTTCGGCGAGCCCAGGGAAAGGGGGGAGGCAGGGAAAGGGGACGACAGAGACGACGACCAACGAATGACGGAGATGACGACTTGAACGGACAAGCCCCTCACACACGCCGACAGGGTCGGCGGATTTCCCTTAGTTCGGGAAATGGCTTATATGGTCCATGTGTGCATCATGGGCGTCCTCTCCCCGATCCTCCCCCTTTCCGCGCCCCTCCTCACCTGCAATCCTCTTCCTCCCTATGCCCCTCCATCCCCCGTCTCCCACCCACCCTCTTCCCCTCCCCTTCCCCTCACTCCCACGCTCCTCCCTGTCCTACTTCGTCTCCCCTGCGTAATGCCACAATATAAATACTACTCTCCTCTCTCCCCTGACGACGTCCGGAAGATGTTCTGCTTCCCTCCGCGTTTAGTTTTTTTTTGTTTTACAGGGATTCCCGGGAGTTGGGTTTTCGCTTGGCTTGTTTTCATGATGATGCTCCCGCTGAAGCGCTGGCCTCATTTTTGGGCTTCCGCTCGTTCCGAATCGTGCTCCCGCTGCCGCGCTGTCCGCATTTCCGCGCTTTGCTCGTTCCGAATCGTGCTCCCGCTGCAGCGCTGGCCTCATTTCCGCGCTTCGCTCCCTCCGAATCGTGCTCCCGCTGCAGCGCTGACGTCATTATTTCCAGTGCCATGCCACGGCATGCAATGCAATGCTACGTGGTGTTCCGCTGTGCGATGCCATACCTTCAGCTGCAATGCTAGGAGATGCAATGCTTGACTACGCATTGCCACGCCATGCTATGCCATGCTACGCTTTGATCTTCAGCGCCATGCTGTGCCATGTTCTGTTCTGTGCAGCTGTGCGATGCCATTCTTTGCATTGCAATGCGTTGTGATGCAATTCTTCACTATGCAGCGCCACGCCATGCCGTGCTCTTCTACACCCTGCTATGCCGTGCTCTACGATGCATCGCGCACCCTCTCGGGATCATTGCCCTGCTCGACATCCGACTGTGCGAAAAGAGAGGAGATCTACGCCATGGTAAGGGATGGGAGGGAGGGGTAGGACGTCAGATATGATGCGAGCGCACCGAGCTTGCCTGTCTCCCCTCCCTCGTCTTCCCTTCCTCGTCGCCCCCTCTTCCCCTCCCTCTTTTTCCCTGTTTCTCTCCATTCCTCCCTCCCTCCCTCGCACATTACCGCAGCGCCAGGACGCATGGTGGAGGAGGAATGGGCCACTCAGCTGAGCCCCGTAGACTGGTCCACGAAGGAGCGGAGTGCGTTCCGCAGGCCCACAGGGAGGGGGGGAAGCGGGCGGGCTAAGGGAGGAAGGGGGGGATGGATGGGGTGAGGTGTGGGAGACGGGGCAGGAGGATAACACAGTGGAGGACGATGATGGTGAGACAGAGGAGGGAAACCAATAAGGATGATGTTGAGACCGGCGTTGACGATGATGTTGATGTTGATGGCGCTGGTGATGGTGGTGGTGACAGTGATGGTAATGGTGATGGGTAATGGTGATGGTGATGGTGATGATTATGGTAGCGTTGGCGATTGCGATGCTGATGCTGATGATGATGCTGATGATGCTGCTGCTGATGATGATGCTGATGATGATGATGATGCTGCTCCTGATGATGATGCTGCTGTTGATGGTGATACAGATGCTTCTGATGATGATGACGACGATGATGATGCTGCTGATGATGCTGATGCTGATGATGATGCTGTTTATGCTGCTGATGGTGAGGAGGAGGATGGGATGATGATGATGTTGACCATGCGGATGATGATGCTGCTGATGATGACGCCGATGATGGTGATGATGATGCGGTAAGGACGGCGACGATTATGATGGTGAAGCGTGTGTTTGCGATGATGGTGCTGATGATAATGATGATGACGATGATGATGATGAGGATGATCATGCTGATCATCATGATGTTGATGACGATGATGGTGACATAATGGTGCAGTACCGATGACGGCGACGATTATGATGGTGAAGCCTGTGTGTGTTGCGATGATGGTGTTGATGATGACGACGATGCCGATGACGATGATGATGAACATGATGATGATGCCGATGATGATGGTGAGGATGATGGTGATGTTGCTGCTGATGATGATGAACGTGCTGCTGATGATGATGGTGAGGAATCATGATAAGGATGATGATGCTGTTGATGATGATGAACATGCTGATGCTGATGCTGATGATGATGCTGCTGATGCTGATGATGAATATGGCGATCATGATGAAGATGACCATGATGATGTTGAGGAACATGCTGCTGATGATGATGGTGAGGATGATGATAATGATGGTGATGATGATGACGATGATGAACATGATGATGCTGATGCTGATGATGATGCTGCTGATGCTGATGATGATTCTGGCGATGATGATGAAGATGACCATGATGATGCTGGTGATGATGATGAGGCTGTTGTGGATGATAGTGATGATGACGATGACGATGATGATGACGATGATGATGATGATACTGATGATGCTGTTGAGGATGTTGCTGATGCTAATCATGATCATGATTATGATGATCATGATGCTGATGATGATGATGCTAATCATGATTATCATGATGATGATGATGATGATGATGATGCTGCTGATGATGATGATGATGATGATGATGATGATGCTGATGCTGCTGATGATGATGATGATGATGATGGTGATGGTGATGATGATGATGATGATGATGATGATCATAATGATGATCATGATCGTGATGATCGTGGATATGGTATTTCACTGTGACGGTGATGTTGGCCGCAATGTCGTTGCTGATAATGGTGGTGGTGCTGCGTTGGATCGTTGGGCCAACATCCTGGATGGGGTCCTACCGATTTCGATTCCCATCCGGCTTGACGCGATCCGGTTTCCGATTCGATCTGATTCGGCCCTGCCGATTTCTGCCGATTCGGTGTGCCAGCCTATTTTTGCCGATTTCTGCAGATCTGATGTTCGGTCGATCTGAGTCGACATCGATTCGATGCTTGGGCCGCCTGGGCTAGAGAGGGGGCGAGGAAGAGGAAGTGGACGAGGCGGATGAGGAGGAGAGCGTATAGAGGAGAGAGGAGGAGTGAGGACGAAGAGAGAAGAGGAGTGAGGAGGAGGAGGAGGAGGAGGAGGAGGAGGAGGAGGAGGAGGACATTTTGACATCGACACCATAATGTTATAACATGCTAGTCAGGCTTGACCTAGGGCCCGAGGAGGGGGACGAGGTCGGAGTACGAGGACGAGAGAGGCGGGGGAAGAGGGACGAGGATGAAGAGGAGGAGGAGGAGGCGGCCGAGGAATAGGAAGACGAAGAGGAACCCGATGAGGAGGAAGGGGATGTTGCATGGTCCCCGTCGCTGGATCCTCCATCTCGCACTCTGCGGGGCAGCGATCCTGTTGCCAAACGAATCTCTTGTACGGCTCAGTCTCGTCCACGTGCCACTGGCCGCCCGCGGGCGGGGGGGAGGGGGGAGGGGGCGGAGCAAGCAGCTGAGCTATGTGGGTGATCGAGGGTGGAGGAATGAGGGTGGGGCCCTAAACGTTGCGCTATGAGCGCGATGAGGATAATGCTGAGGATGCTGAGGGTGATGATGGTGGTGGTGGTGGTGGTGATGATGATGGTGGTGGTGATGGTGATGATGGTGATGATGATGGTGGTGATGATGGTGGTGATTGTGATTGTG